AACTGTTCTGAGTTAACAGGAGAATGGATAAAACAAATGCAGTTTAGTCCCACAAGAAAAACTGTAAGAGAATGGAAAAGATTTGAAACTAAGACATAGCTATAAAATTATTTATTTTCCTTCCAACAGGAAAATAACACTTTAACCAATCAATCAAGTTTATTTGTAAAGCAAATTTCAGAAACAAGACAGTTCAAAGTGCTTTACATCATACATATATAGCCACACTCCAACCCGAAAAGCTGCTGTCCTGCAGCTGTTTGAGGTGTTCATGTCTTATACACCTGAATCAAAGGACTGAATTACCTTCTCATGCAATTACGTTCAATAGAGTCATGGCAAAAACCAAATGATGTATGTCAGGTGTGTTGACAGAGACACGTCCAAAAGTTGCAGGATGCCAGCCCTCAAAGACAGGTGTGGCTAAGATTAACACATAGCAGGTGCTAAAGGGGAGACATCATGTATTCTCCAGGCACATAAGTGACATTTTACTGCACAATAGGGCAACTATGTTCCCCTCAGTTTTAATAAATACGTATGCATCACACATAACTTAAAAGAAATTTAAATTTGCAATTTTATGCTTTGAAATTGCCCTCTGACTCTTTAAGAAGTGCATGCTCTTTCCAACACTCCACCCTTTGCACGTTATCACAAAAAGGCTAGTCCATTATGCCGTTATCAACCGTGCTTGGTAGCATTGGACTGAGTAGCTCTTATGATGAGCTCAGCAGATGTACAGCTGCAGCAGGAGTTTGCTAATTGCTGCTACCGGAAATACTGCTGGTGGAGCTGAGTGGGGAAGGTCCACCCCCCTTTGAAATGTGTGTCTCCTAAAATACCAATCACTTTTTTTAAGCGTGGGCAGGTGCTTACCTCGAAATGTCACTGGCCGAGAGGCGGGACCATGCATGCACACTCATACCTCAGGACAATTTAGAGACCAATCTGAACCCAGAACCCTCTTCCTGCAATGCAACAGTGCTACATCACAATGCAGCCCTTACATTTCACATCACAAGTGGAGAAACTAAACTTATTTCATCAAAATGTCAATAATAAGAGGTCGAGGACAGCAGACAAGTCAGCAATGAATAAAGAAAGATTTGTTAAAAAAAAAAAAAGAATTTTTTGTGTGTCTAAGGACTAACACAAAAAGCCAGACAACCTTGAATAGAATGTAATCAGTTTAGAAAATTAACCTTAAGGGCAGGAAGTCAAGTTGTTGGAAATTTTAAGGGGACATGGTCAGAGAAAAGCAGAAAAATTTAAATATTTTAAAATATTGTATTCTATAAGATAAAAACAGAGATAAACGGTTATAAAAGAAGCAATCGCTGCTTTAAAAGTTGTAGTGAGAAAGAATTGGTGTGCAGTCACAATCTCCATCTAGCTCCAAGAAAAACAGAGTGAACAATGTTCTTGTTTCCCACATTTTACAGAATTAGGATGACTCTTGGTTTATGCTCATTCCACACAAAAAGGAAAAAAATAATAATAATTCAACCACATTCTGTTCTTCTGGAGTAAGAAGCAGCTAAAGCAGAAAATAAAACAGCATGAGCATACAAACTTTACAAAGGAACCCCCCCCAGCTGACCAGCAACATAATAAATGGCTACTTTTGCAAAGCTGACCACAGCACCACTATGTTCCTCCAAGTTCAAATCAATAAAAATAAAACGCCAGCGACAAAAGCAAAGTTTTGCAAGAAAATAAACAACCCTTCAAAATGCGTTTACTGTTCCATGAGACTCAGCGTTCTTCTACCACTGTTTATTAAACTAGATGTTATGACGGAAAGTAGCAGATTTTGCTGTAACTGATTTCTACAAAGTAAAAATAAATTAGGGAAGCAGTGGAATCATTAATAATTTCTCTTCAATTTAGTGACAGGAAGCGGGTACTTGCTGATACGGACCGTACAAATATATAAACCTGCATATTCACAAAGTGAAAGTTGCAGAGTTAACACTTTCAGTCTGATGTGGATTTGTGGGTTGATTGATTTTCTTTGACTCCATGCTAATTGTGAATATCTCCTTCGTGTGGCGATGGTTATAGCTGTACTCAGCTAGACTGGGCTTTGTAAGAGCAAAAGCTTTAATCAGCCATCCGCATAAATCAATGCAGAGAGGTGAATAATTATTTGTGTGTTGCTTTCCCAGCTAGATCAATGCATATTTGAAGAACAGCAAGTATGTAATTGCAAACAGCATTTTCTTTTTTTTTTTTTTTTTTTTAATTCATTCAAACATTCGTTCTCATGCAGAGAACTTAGTTGAGGAGGAACCGGATGTGCAAAGCTCTTAAAAGAAGCAAACAAACTCTGTTGGAAGTTTGTATCTAAACGTCATCTCCAAATTTAGCTCAAGTTATTAAAAATAAATAATTTGGCAAAACAGACGCAAGATTACAGCAATCACCGTTACCACTGACTTAGCAAGATGGCAAACTGGTAAACACCGATGTGAAGAGGAGATCTGTTAGTGGGCAGCGCATAGGCTTGTTCAGCCTTGAGTGAGTAGAGATTTGTTAATAACTGTCTGCAGTCCCTGCTGGATTCAGGTGACGGATTTGTTGTTCAGTCAGGAAGCACATGAGCAAGAAGCAAAAGGTGATTGGTTTTTATTGTTCTTCCAGCAGCCAGCACTGTGACCATTTTGCCAGTGAAATCCCCAATCTCTGTAGCTCAACTTGTCGTCAGAAAGTACGGATCAAAAACCACGGATCTCTGCTGCTGTGTGATGGAGTTGGGCTCCGTCCCCAACCAACAGGCAAAACACGGTCAATACTGCTGCAGAGCAGGTAAGACATGTGTTCTAGAGGTTTTTAAAATAAGGCAAAAAAAAAAGAAGCGTTTTCTCAGTTTTGAAGTTGAATGTTGCTCCCAAAATTTACAAAAGAAATCACAAAACCATAACGCATCACACAGTACCAATGATTTACAGTCATTTTAATGAAATACCAGAGAAAACATCAGAGTCACCAGGATTTTCTCCAACATAGAAGAACCAGGCGGGAAGCTTTTCCCGATTATTGCTGCACACAGCTGTTCAGCTGGCTGAAAGAGCTTTTTTTTTTTTTTGCACTGCTTTTTTGAATGTTGTGTGAGACACTCTTAGCCTAGTAAGCATGTCTCACTTCAAAAAACATAACTAAATTTTATTAATATTATTTTATATGTTAATCTATACGTTTTATTTATTTGGACAGCAGCAGAAAAACTGGTTATTTTTTCTGTTTTAAATTAAATTTATTATGTATTTTTATTCAAATTGTCCTTGTAAATATGGTGGTACTATAAAACAGAGTTTTATAAAAGCACAGGCCAAAAATCAGAGCAGGCCCAAGGCATTAGTGAATATGAGTGGTGGTTAGGAGCACCCAAATTATCTCAAAACTTTTAATTTGCAGTTATGTTTGTCAAGAATGAGTCTAAAAATAACCCATCGATCTTTCATTTACAGGTATATGCATAGATAATTTTGACATTTGTAGTTCTTGCTCATTTAAAACAGACCTGTATTTAGGATCTTCAACTTCTAAATGAAACTAGTCACATTTCATGCAACTTCAAGTAAATGACAGTTGTCTTTTTCCAGACAAACTAGACTGTGAAACCCAAATTAATAAGATTAAAATATTCTCCAAGTATTCTTTACTGTGATATAATTTAAGGAACAATATTAACGTAGATGTTGCAAATTAAAATTCTACTTGCGGGACTCATAAGATTTAGTTCCACTTGCGTTCAGTCAAATTATCCTTGTTTTGAAACGCTGTCCATTAATATGAGTTTTAGCTTTTTCACTTTTCCTCTGAGCCACACGACTTTGTGTTGGACAGCGACTACAATTGTGCCACTTGAGGTCTCGTACCAGTCAATATGAAGGACTAAACTACAGCTGAAAGCAGACATGAGTTCAATCATTCAATCTGTGGCACAGAAAAACACACAGTGAGGCTGTTATGTAGCAGCTGTCTGGGAGAACAGGGAGTAGCATCGCTCTTATTGAACACAGAGAACAATAAAATATAACCTGGGGGGCAGATCCCACAGTGCTCTCTCCACACAATCAATAGGACTATTTTAAACCGTTCTGATGCAGCAGCCTCTGTGTGTGTGTGTGTGTGTGTGTGTGTGTGTGTGTGTGTCTGGAAGGTGGGGGGTAAATATGCAGGAACACACACAAAGACAGACGTGATATTTTATGAAAAAGTAAATTAAGAATTTATTGGTTCCTATATTTGTTTGTTCGCATCCACATAAATGAATGTGAACAAATTGAATATTATGCCAATAAAATTGAGTGGACTTGATTCTATAAAAGTGAAGTCCGCTCTCATACACTCAAAGAAACTTACACAGGTCACCTACTTAGCGATTTAATCTTTTAGCAGACCCCCCATGTATGTGTCTGTGTAATGTAGAATCTTTGAGGAAGGTCATTTCATTTAATTAAAAAAAAAAAAAAGTTATGTAATTTTTTTTCACTTCTTCAAGAAATAACTACAGGGAATCCAACCTTCTGGGCTTATGATGGTCTCTTCATCTATATTTAAATTTTGACATGATGCATTTCTGTGCAGACTACCAATATTTCAATATGCTTACAATGAGGACGCAGAAATGTTTTAAATTGTTTTCATAGTTTCGAAAGCAACTGCAATATTTAATTGAAATATAAAGTATAGCAAAGGAAAAGTCAAATTACTCAATTTATTTTATTCGATTGACATTTTCTTCAGCTGACAGAGTCTTTGTAAAGTCTGTATGTGTTGCAGGACTTTTGTGTTGACTTTATTTCACCGTCAGGCTGCGATTGCATCATGATGAGAATTTCCTGCCTAGCGGTAAATCAAAAATAAATAAATAAATATCCACAACTTCCAAATAACATCCGCTGTTGTTCAACTGAACCACATGTCCAAAAGTACAACAGGACAGAAACTAACCCAGGTGGTCCTGAGTGGGTCGTAGTGCGCTGTCTTACCTTGATTGCAGCGGCTGAAACGACTGATCGTAATTCCAAGAAAGAGTGAAACGAAGAATCTGTTTCCAAAAGTCATGTCTGCGGCAGTATTTACCAGCGGCTTTACTTCTTGTTAGATCAGCGATGAAGCGCTCTGGGTCCGTTCAGGTCCACTAGTTCTGGTCCTTATAACTGATCCCGTGTGGAGCGAGCGGCCGTGCGGTGGAACAAGAGGTGGCTCATCCTTTTCACCTGGCGGCTGCCGCAGCTCCGTCACTAAATGGACACCTTTTGGGTAAAGTCCCAAAAATATTTGAAGTGAACTCGGACCTTCTGGCAGGGCTAAAAACACTTCGCTAATAAAACATCTGCAAAAAACAAAAAACTTTGCAGATTCTAAACGGACTTCACCCTCCACCCTCTCTAGTGTTTCGAAATGGGCATTAAAACGCAGTTTAAAGCGCGTAGAGTCGTGGCAGACTGGAGACACCGTGTGTTTGGCACGGCAGGGCGCCGCGGACCGACTGCCAGCTCCGGCTGCAGCTCCAGCTCGGTCCGCTGCTGCAGAGAGATGGTGGAAGGTGAACAGAGGAATGATTGGGATGCAGCGGAACAGCAGCAACAGTGGAGGCGATGCTGTGGGACTGCGCGCATCTGTGCAGGATGCTCGGCACTAGAGGGGGTTAGCTGACAAGGCAATGGGATGTGTGTTTGTGTTTGTGTGTGCGCGCGTTCATCTCATTGGCTCGTAAGCAGGGCTTCCTAAAGACTGGTAAATGTTAAACATGATCCCACCTCCCCCACATTTTGACTGAAGTTTAATGCAATAGTTCGTGTTCGGATGTTACGTAAGATGTTATTCAGGGTGGCAAATATGAAGCTGGTGACAAGTTCTTGGAATACACTTTTGACGTCTGGATCTCTCATTAAGTTGTCACCAGGACTGATCTGTCTTAGCTTATTTTGGACGTTTGAAGTAGGAAACTGTAAATGTGGGGAGGGGGTAAATAAATAAATAAATAACTTTTGCAGACAGTCTTAAAGTTGAAAGAAAAAGTTAAAAACAAATGTGCTGTCTCATCCTGGTTTGTTGTATTTTGTTAATCCTAGTTTTAAAATGTAGCTTTTATTTTGTTAAATGCCTTACTTTTCTTGTTTTGCTTTAATCTTCATTTTATGACACCGCCTACAACTGTTCCTCAGTTTCCAACTACCACACCTGTCATGCGTTAATCATTTCCGCCTGCAGTGCTCAAATAGCTTTAGATGTTGCCATCTGTGATGCCAAGAGCTACATTTTTTTCTGTAACAGGTCCCTCTACCTTTGCAGTACCTAAAAAAATATATATATTTACTTGCTCATCTGCAGAACTGGGTCCCTGTATACATACTGCTGATGTGCGGATTTTAATTACATTCAGTATTTGATGATTTACATAATAGTTCCACTCTTTGATTGGGCACAGGTGTGTCAAAGTTTTGGAACACCAGGTGTCCCAGTCAAAAAATAAAAAGTTTTCATGTAATGTTTTTAAAGGTATTAATTTCTGAAAACAGTTGTGCCATATACAGGTTAAATAAAATAAATGTAAAATAAACATAAAACAAATATAGTCTGAGCTTATATTTCAGCGGAAGGGAATCACTGACAAGTTATATGCTTAATGATTTTATAGATTATTTTTTAAATCAAAACATGTTTCAGTTTTTCTTGGTCTGACATTTCTCTTTTCACTTTAAGGTTCAGTTACATCCATTATTTCAAGTGTCGAGATGTGATGGAGATGTCAGTTATGAGTTTATTTTATAATGCAAGTATATGTGTTAACATAAATAATTTCATACTGAACATACAGCAGTGTTCAAAATTTTGCCCAGATCTTCAGACAGGAACCACCAGTTTGTGCATTTGCTGCCTTGGTCCTTTAAAGAAAGTCCCCAGTTTGACGGCTGATTTTTTTTATTTAATGAATTACCTCACTGATTGAACACCACACCGCTTTAGACTGGTCATTTATTTATACTTAATCACTAACATGTGTGTTGTAACCGTTGTGTCTGTTGGTTTTCTATTACTCTGCCAATAAAATGGATTGAACTGACAAGTGATTTTGCACTCATTTTATTTTAAACTCAAATGAAAAGACAGATTGTAGTTTCTCTCCTCGACTTACATTTTCTAAGTCTGTGTGAATGAGGGCTTTTGCAGAAGAGCATGTCAACTGTCTTTGACATAATCAACTGCAAGCAGCATCTGTTGAGCCACTCTGCAAACAGTTGGCATACGTTAACTGCCTTACAATAAAACTGCTGAAAAGATTGCAAGCATAAACCAAATAAAACCCCAATCAACTTGCCTTTGTTAATAAATTAGCATCATTGCAGTACTGGCACAGCAATTCTATCTTTATTTTTACCTTGCTGCCAGTAAAGCAAAACAAAAATGTGGGGTGAGCTAACAAAAAATGTACAAAAATGTTGCCATGCAAAGAATATTTAAATGGAGGTACATATATCTATAGGCTGATGTCTTTTTTGTTATTATTAAAAGAGGGTTTTACACATTTAATTGTTTTTAAATAAAATACTTTCAAGTTCCTATGATTTAGACAAGTTTCTTTATTACAAACCCTGATGAATGTTTCTGTAGAGTATAATCATGAAAAGTGTTCAGTCACATAATTGAACATCCACCTGTGGACATGTGAATCAGTCATTCCACGTTGAATTTATTCATAGACCTACGATTTATCTGAAAAACGTATAGTTTATATTCATCCTCTGTTGTGCAACAGTGCGCTGCCAACATGCCAATGTCAGCCAAGATTAGTGAAGGTCTTCTTCTCATCTTCATGGACATCTCATTGCGTGAGTAAGCAAACCCTCCTCACTTTGACCCGGTTAAACAAAGCAATGCTGGCTGCAGAGATGAAGCCCAGTCAATCAAGATGTAGGAACAGCGTCCTGTCAGCAGAGGGGAGGTAAATGCATCAACATCACAGTCCGTCACCATCACTTAGCTGCCAGCCAATCACCAAACAATGCTGAGCAGCTGCCAACAACTTTTCGTGGCACAATGTGTAAACACGCTGGAGGACAGAGAGTTTTAGACTAGAATGTATTGACCACAGCTGTCTCATTGTGTCTACTGTAGCTGGAGGGAGGCCACAAGCTCTATAGAAGTATAGCAAACTATTAATGTCAGACATTGGACGTAATTCAGCTATGAAAAGAATGGTACAAGTGCAAATCTCTTGAAAACAGATGTCTACAAAGCATTTTCGGACAATTGCACTGTATAAATTATACCTCAATGCAGCTCAGGCTCGTTAAGATTAGCTGGAAAATGTCAGTGAACATACATTTTTAAATCCGTTCACAAAATTTCAATTGAATTTAGGTGGGTACATTGATTGGGCCAGTGCAAGGCTTTGACTCAAACCATGCCATTGTAGCTTTAGGTGTGTATTCAGGGTTTTTGTTCAACTTGAAACTGAAATTTAACTTCCAGCAAAATTTATAAACTTTTCATTGAGGATTAACTTGCCTTTTAGAGCATCCATCTTTATTTGACAAGCATCCTGCAAACTTCTCACAGTGAAGAGCATCTTGTGTTTTTCATGACCCGTTGTCTCTGAAACAGCAATGTTCTGTACTGACACTTCTTACCTCATAAGATTGTATTAAATGAAAGAAAAAGAAACATATTGCCAACATCCTAAATCAGCTGTCATTCTTGTAAACAGTGCAACCAGCAACATGACTGAGTGATGATTTAGAAGGTCGAGAACAGGTTTTTTTAGTGTGGCACCCCCTCAGCAATGATCTGGTTTCCATTGCTGTAACAGTAGTCAATGAGGTGTGACTGTAGAGTATTGCAGGCCTAACTGTGAGGTATGATTTCCCCCATTTGAGGAGGGCAACCCTCATCCAGCTGTACTCATCACAGGCAAAAAGCTGGGACAGAACCACATCAGCACAACTGACAAAGACTATGAGACTTTATAGCACTAATAGGTTCAATAAAATCCACTTTGTAATGAAGTGCCTGGCTACACAAAGCAACAAAGTGGCTCCCAAAAATAAAATTAAAAGTCCAAATCACTTACACAATAACTAACAGTAGAGTACACTCATTATTGAACTTCATTCAATAATGATTTTTTTTACATTGACATATATTGCCACAATTGGATTGAGACTTTGGGAAGAGTGTGCATGTAAAGGTGTATTTTTAACGAAGCTGTTAAAACCCAAACTTCAGTGCTTAGGCAAACAGCAATTGAGTTTTAACTTCTCTAATGAAGAAGCTTAAATTTTACTGTTGCTGTTACACTATAATTTTTAATCTTCAATTAAACTGCTAAAGATAATCACACAACGAATGATGAAAAGTGGAAAGCAAACTCCTATTGGTTGAAATACTTGCAATTATAAAAACCACTAAAGTCACACAACTCTAAATGTCTTGATTTATCTGAGAATGGAGCCACTGTGACATGACTTGAAGAATCGATGTTTTATCCGAGAACCAACAACATCATGTCTTCTCAATACCCAGAACAATCAGAATGTCATAAATGGTGTGCAATAATAATACAGGTGTGAATTGCACCGTGGATCTTTCACAGGAGTCAGGACATAACAGCCAAAAAGTTTTCAGTCTCTGTTATTAATCATCAACACCTGCCTATAAAACAGATTAAGTCCTGCTGTTCAGTCCTAATCTCTTGAGTTCCCTTCATGCTGTCCATGTGGAAATGCTCTTATTTGTACTTTTAAACATTTGGGCACATCAAATTGAATAAAAACAACAGTAGACCTCAGGGCTATGTTGAAGTGATCACCAATCATGGTCATTCAGGGTTTTTGTTCCTACCACATTTCTTCCTCAAAGACAATGACTCACCACTAGCCTTTTTATTAATAGTGTGTTGGCAGTTCTCAGTCCAGTTTTAGGAGTTTCTACAATCTCTTTATAAGTTTTCTATGCCTGATGCCAAGGATCTGGTACAGATGTCTTGAACAGAGACATCTTTTCCAGAACCACAGAAAGTGTCTTTTCACATGGTTGTTTAATTAAGAAATGAGGAGCTACTCATTGCAGCAGTTGGAGTTAAATAACTTGTTCCCAGCTCATTCCTATTTGCTCAGTTAAATTCAGGTAGTGATTTTTTTTTTTTTTTTGTCCAGGCAGTGTATCAATATAATTCACAATGTTGCATGACAAAACAGGCAGAAACTTAAAAGTCAGGCTAGGTTCAATTATTGTTTCGCCTATAGACTTACCTCACACATGCATATATATGCACATTAAGTCATTTAAGTGTTGGATAAAACAGTTTTACTTGTTAAAATCACTCGGCATATAAATTGTCACAAACTTCCCCAGTCTGCCTAGAATGAAATTATTTCTGTTTAACATCTTTCAGTGTTGAGAATTTCAGATATCTCGAATGTGATCAATGAAGTAATCATAGCACAGAGCTAAAAGCTATTTTTATTCCCAAGAATGACTTGTGGCGTTTTGTGTTACTGCACAAAGACATGAACACGCTTATACACACTTGTGCTACAACACTCACGTTGCCCACCTCCCTGGCTACCTAATGGGCCATAGGCTCTAATCTGGATGGCCAAGGTGCTCAGGAGAATGAGCAGAGCAAATAGAGAGAGCAGCTCATCAGCCCAGAGAGCCAGTGTGTCGCTAACTCCAGCTGTTAAAGAGACATCCGCACATCGTTCGGAGACGAGGAAAGGAAATGGGATGACTTTGCAAGATGGGGTAATTTCTAGACTATAGTTTCTAGTAAACCTTTTTCTTTGCCCTACCTCCAAAATGTCATCTCAGAAGAAAAAATGACAGCTACAGTAGTTTTTCCCTCTGCCTTTGGCCTTCCACATTTATTTGAAGTTACTGACCTGTTTCTAAAATTTTTTGTGCTCTATTGTGATAATATTTTCTCCTGTGGAAATAATTACGTGTATTTTATGCAGGCAATGAGACAAAAAAAGTGCTTTTCTTCATCGGTCATTGGGA